AAGCCAAACTCACCACCTCTAAGTTGTCTCCGGACAACCAGGTAATCTGAGTCGTAACATGTGCTAAGAACAGAGCTCAGAAGAGTACAGTCAATGAAACTCACACGCTGCCTCCTACCACGCCTTCCCTCGCGGCTGTTGGACTTGTAGTACTTGTACTCGAACTTTGTGGAAGCGGAAAGCTCGACGGTCGTTGCCCAGACAGGGTACGTATCAGCAGACATGCGGATCTGGACAGTAGAGACTCGGAGTGTGAGTAAATCTGAGTAACGCGTAGAACAGATCAGAGCACGTACCGCCCTTCTTGGGTTCCATGAGCCCAGCTTCGGCAGCGAGCCAACCAGGTAGACGTTCTACAAAGACCCACAGATGTAAGCACCAGTGCACTTGAGAAACAAAGAAAGACATCAACTCGCCTCGCCCATGGTAGTCGTAACCTTCGCGTGAAAGGTGACCGCGACCTGGCTGCCTTTAGGAAGACACTCGCTTGTTTCGCTAGCAGTAGGAGAGGGAGTGTTCGATTCCTGAGGAAGCGTGGAAGGTTCTTCTGTTGGAGTTTCTGACGCGGAAGGGGTCGCCGTTGCAGAGGAGGTTTCCGAAGGGGTTGCCGATGTAGAAGGGGCTTCCGATACAGAAGAGGGTATTGGCTCAGATGTAGGCCCAGAGGAAGTTTGCGACTCGCTCTCGATGACTGTAGAGGACCCAGGTGCTTGCGGTTCCGACGCAGTGGGCGATTGCGATTCCGATGCAGTGGGTGTTTGCGACGCTGACTCGCTGGGCGTTTGCGACTCCGACTCGGTAGCCGTCGGTTCAGGAAGCGGCTGCGAGCTCGTCGGTGGCACAGGCACGACGACGCGAGCACCGATGTGGATAGCCAGAGCATCTCTAGGAGAGACGCTAGCAGTGAATGATCCATCGGAAACAACCACCCTTCATAATCAGCGTGTCAGCACTCAAGACTCTATGGTCAAGAACTTGAAAGACGACTAACGAAGCACCAGTACACTCCTCTTCCTCAGCGTTCAAAGAAGAACCGCCGATAACGTCGCAGTACGTGCCGTCCGCGAGCGAGGTGGTGAACGTCGCGTTCCAAGCTTCAGCAGAGTGGTTGATGACGACGAATCCGTTAGGCCCTATTGTACGTCCAGTTCAGCGAGAGACACCCAGGTGAGGGAGAGAAGAGAATGAACGAACCACGGCCAAATGCGATCCTTCCAGTGGAGTTCGTGGACCCCTGCCAGTTCGTGGCTCCGGTATCGCCAGAGTTCTTCCTGAAGCCGACCATGCCGGCGATAGCTGACCAGCGGTGCTGACAGAGCCATCCTCCAGAGCCGCCGGTCGCAGAGCAGCGTCCATAACCTAGGAACCATACACATATCAGACTTCACATTCGAGGGCACGAAGCACGGATGTGACGAACCGTTGTCTGGGGCCCCGTCGTCCCTTTGCTCGAAACCGTAGCTGGAGAGCACGGAAGGCTGACCGTAGGGATGGGCAAGGGAAAAGACGTGTGCGAGAACGTAGGCGTTGTTGGTCGAGTTGAAGCGCATAGGTAAGGTATCCTGAGCCTGAAGAGCGATGTGTCAGAATCAGTGGCACTGATGAGAACCTGAAAGGACCTACCCTTTCGGAGTCGTGGTTCGCAACGAAGACGTTAACGTCTTTGCTGGCGGGCCACCCTGTTGACAGCACATCAGTTTGCCGTTCAATCATGATAGACATTCCAGGAGATAAGTGTACTCACCTCTCTGCTCGATAGTTCTGAGAGGCGCGATGTTCCCAGACAGGAAGGCGGACCTCAACTCGCGGTTATAGGTGAATCTACATAACGGCGCCGTAAACAAACAGCGCATGAGAACGTATCGGCTGAACGCACTCTTGGATGTATCCTGTCAAAGCAATACCGTGAGCGAATGCCGATGGTCCAGAACTACAAGTAGCACACCATTGATCAGGTACTCAGAGGGTAGCACCTGTTCGCCAGGCGCATATGTCGCTTCCTGTGTGACGTAGACGGATTTGGAGAGTCGATCAAGGATATTGCGAATGTCCGTGGTAGGCATGTCTAAGCACGATGTCATCAGTCGTTTTCTGGACGAGCGCAGGAAACTCAGCGATGTACGTTTTGCAGCATCGATCCTGAACCCATCGACGCCCAAGGAGATCAAATCCTCAAGGAAGGCCGCAAGACGGGCACGAACGGGCTCCGTTTCGGTCTTCAGGCTATAGAGTAAACACCGTTTAGTCAAGAGAGAGAAGACGGGGGAACCCATGAACTACTTCAGACTCACTCGGCCAAACCGTGCAGCTCACAGTTCTGCGTCTCGAAGCGATCGCCGTAGTTGCGAATCCGGTTATCGCCATGTCGGCTGCAGTTGTGGAAGTTTTCCTCGGTCCAAGTACCCTCGTAGTTGAACTTGGTGAATGGGGTGCCTCCAATACCATCGCCCCATGTTTGAGCCGTCATGTGGTTGATAATTGCGTCTGCAGGACGAAAACATGAGCGTCAAAACGCAGTAGCAAAAAAAGGCATGGAACTCCTGGACTCACCAGCAATGACCTTCACACCCGCGTCGTGGCATCTCCTGAGCATGTTGGCGAACTGATTACGGTTACCGCGCTTCGAGGTGAGCTTGTACGAGACGGCCTGGTAATCGGTCCACCATAGTCCTCCAATGATATGTTCCTGGGGCGGGCTGACTACGATGGAGGTGAGAACCGCCGCGCCAGGTCAGGAGGAGTGTACTCACCTTGAATATAGCTGTACCCGAGCTGCCCAATGGTGCCACACTCGTTGGCGATGCTGTCCCAGTTCCAGCCAAACATCTGGATGATCACTTCGTTTCTGGAGTTTGTGGTCGTGGTTTGTCGGGCGCTGACATCAGATACATGAAGAGGGGTCGAAGAGGTGGATGTAGCGACGCTAGCCAAAGCTAGAGTGGCCAAAACAGAGCTAAGGATCTGCATTGTACCGGGACCGCGAGGGAGGAATTAAGGGAAGGGGGAAGTTGGGAGGCGAATGCATCACACGAAGGAGCCTTTTTGTTTGTTGAAAATGGCAATTATCGCAAGCGAAATGAGGAAAACACAGACGCATGGGGCTGGTGTAACGATCGTCCATAAATTGAGCTTGAAGCGAATGTGGTGGTGGTCGTGACGGCTCGAAACAGAGTGGTGATCAGATGGCTGAGTTCCTCATGAGCGTCAGTTTTGAAGGCAGCCGGCGAGCAGGCCGGGGTGTGGGTTGCCAACAGCCTGGAAAGCTATGTGTGGGAGAAGGCACTCAGCTGGAGTTATTACAGAAGCGATTGGAGGTAAGATCAAGACAGCCTTTTTATCTCAGAGCCAAAAACACACAGGCGACTTCTACATACCACCTTTCGCTCAGCCAAAGACTCCCGATGAATATCGAAGATCATCGATTATCACAGACGACGGAGTAAGTGAGTGTTCAGATTGCATTACGCATGCGTATCGCATTCTTTGCATGCAATCAAAGCACCGCTTCGTATGTTTCAAGGGGCTGAAGAAATCTTATCGGCAACTTTTGTAAATTACGCGCTGTCCGTACCTGAATAATATTCAAGATGCTACGGCAGGCACTGCAGTTGCCATAGGACATCGGGCAAAGCTTCCGGGACATCCTGTGAGTTGTGAAACGTACTCATAGATCACATGTATCACTGAGGGCCGCACCTCGGGCGCAAATGCCCTCATGAGATGGGCTCATAGAGCCCGATGTTAGGTTCTTTTGTAGGTTGTTTGTACCCTGATACATGGCGCTTTGAGTAGGTCTAAAGAACCCGTGTTTTCAAGGACGAAAACCCCTCAGAGTGGACTCTTTTGAGGGTTCTTTGCGACCAGTTTGATGGGCACAACATCCCACTTCGCTGGGTCGAATGAGCCCACTTTGCGGGCTCTTTTCTGACCAAAAGTGACCGCCATGTACGCCTTATTCACGAATAAAAAGGGACCTTGTCCAGGCTTGAACCGCTGACCTTACAGGTACCAGCAGGACGTCGACCACTGAGGGTCCATGTTGTCTGGTGCACCTAGGCTCAATATATCTAGCAACTCATCTTCTTCCTCTGTAAGAATTACTGCTCCTACATGAGCTACAGGCGTGCATGGTTGGATGGAGGACTTGGGTAAATATTCACATAAACTCCGGAGCGCCAGCTGCAGGCACAAGGGTCAGTAGCAATGCAAGAAGCACCAACGTCGCGATCTGATTGGATGCAATCAAGTGGGATCAAAGTACCCGATCTCAAAAGCGCCCTAAAATAGGGCTCCAATCCGAGATTCGTCGAAAGAGCCCACAAAGAGGGCGCTTTAGGGTGTGGTCTTTCCGCCCTGATAGTGGGCGCAAACGTGCACACAACAAAGAAACCGTTTTGCGGGCGCTTTGCTGTGCGTCGATTTTGATAGAACTGAACAGGTGAATTGTAGATGAATCTCTGGCGTTGTTCGGGCGTCGTCAGACGATATTCATCATCATTCGTGAGTAGAGCGCCTGAGTGAACCCAAACCTCCAAGGCAAAACTTGGTTGAGACAGTGAGAATTGGCTCTCTTTGGGATTTGATAGGATATCGATCAAGACGATTGTGGATACATAGGTCACTCAAGTGAAGAGTCGATCGCCCTTGAGGTGATGGTACAAGTTGGAAGAAAATGCGCGCGGATCAGCCGGTTTGAACATTCTTCTAGTTGACGATCACTCTAGCTCTCTTGAGCCCGAACCCACACCACCTCTTCAGCCCTTTTTTGGTGAAAGGCACACAGTAATCATTGCACGCGTGTAGAGTGCGCACATGTATGTCTCGTCATACCCATAGGATTCTTAGACCACTGCAGAAGCAACGCGACTGGATTAGAGGAGGCGTGGCATGGATGTAGAGCGCCGGATGGTGAACGTGCAGAATGAAAATCTTCCGAGGAACGGACGATGTCTACTTTAACCCTTTTAGATGATATTTGTATAGTCAACCGTGCATCTCATGGCGCTATAGTGTAGTGGCTATCACTCAGGATTCTGATTCTTCATCTTCCTGTAACCCAGGTTCGAACCCTGGTAGTGCCTTGGACTTGGGAATACAAATAGTGTTTTTGGCGATCGTTCGCAATCGCTTGTGCTTTGCAAATTGCGAGATATCTCATCTTTTTATGCTCGATTTTGATCAGAAGTTGGGACGAAAGGGCTCAAGATTGCTGTAAAGAGTTACTGGCCCGGTGATACGCTACTGGTTCACCCTCAATACCGTAGTACTCTGTATGGACATTGAGCTAACCTATATTCAACGGTGGAAGTCATGAAGCGTGCCCTAAGGTGGCCTTCCAGCAGCGTTCGTCCTTGAAGCACCCAGATATTGCTGCACTCCCACACGACTCAATGATCGGACATGAAAGGAAGCGATCCCACTCATACACTTAGGTTTCGATTATAACCGAAGGACGAACGTACACCTGCATGCCTGCTCCCAAGTCCTGCGAAGCTCGCTCTTCACCTGGAGCCGCTTCTTTCCCCACAACTCTTCGGCACTCCTATGACCAACATGATCTAGCTCACCAAGACTGTCAACAGAGTAGCGAACATCCATGCGCGACTGCGGCGAGGCGGATGTTTGTAACGGGATCATATCTCTTCAGCGGCTGAGATGTATAACACTGCAAATGAAGGAGGATGAGATCAGTAGTGATTCATGGCGTGATGTAGGGCAAAGCTCGTGGGATGGATGGGTACACAGGACAGCGGTGGAGGAGCGTAGAGCCCGTGACTACTGAACGACCGGTACACACCAGCAACTCCAGGAAAGGAAGGTACAACGCTAAAGCCGTACCACCGACGAGAAACCGTATACGCACCATTGTTTCCTCTGATGAACGCGTCCCCATACCGATTCGTCACATTTCCATTAACATGCTCTTCAGTTTGCTCAAGCGCGATGTTCATGTATCCGTCCAGACAAGATAGGATACCTGTAACGCGTCAGTACCAAGTCGACAGCTGGCTACATACGACCGCAGAGGTCGCTTGAGGGTCAAATCAGACTAACCTCGATAATCCACCCCACTCGTCAACCTCACGATGACCCTCTTTCCCACCACACCTTTCAAGAAGTCAGTCGGCGAGCCCTGCGGGACGGGCACGGGCGGCGGTGAGCCAGTCTCCGGCGGTGTTTGAGCAGGAGGTGGCGCGATGGGCGATGCGTCGGACATTGCAGTAGTATAGGATCAGAAGAAGAAGAGCTGAGAATGAGCTCGAGGATGATGGACGCGATGAGCAAGGGTTGGTACAGGACAGGTCGAGGATGCATCCTATCGTCTGGCTTTTGTGATCGGAGTGATCGGATCACGGAGGGAAGCTGACCATGTCCCGCTCGTCCCTTGAAACTGGTGGCGATCCTCCTGACTAACTGGAGGGTTCTCTCTAGTCCAGTTTGTGCTGCTACTCTGCAACTGTGTTTCCACATGTTTCACGCTAAAAGACTACTACTATTTCCCGCGCTGTGCAACGCCCCAGTCTGCAGCTCTCGCCAGAGTGCTGTGGGTGTGGGGCTCAGCTATTGATTATCGCACCCATCCCCGAGTAGGTCCTGGGACCGAATGGGGCCAGGGGTGAGGCCGGATACACTCTTTCATACTAGGTAAGCTCAGGTTGTTGGGTTATTTTTGTACGAAGGACTGGCAGATACTACATTAAATCCAACTAATAAGCGCAGGGACATGCAAAATCTCGCGACATGATCGCGATGCACAAAATATTACCGTCAGATGATGATACTGAGGCGAAATTGTAGCTCCGATGTAATCTGGTTGCGATATTTCGAAGAGTTCACACCAATTGCACTGTTACACAGGTTTTTGGCCTGGTCCACGGGGGTACATGGCTGGACTACATAGGCTAAGGGAGGCATGGACATCCTGTCACAATGGCGGAGAAGGTCAAGACAATGAATTACACAACTAGCGAACTACATGAGTGTAGCTACAACTGGCTCGAGAGCGTCGGCGCATGTGACTTGACGAGGACTTGAGCACGACCTCCACGACACCGTCACTCATCAGTAAATCATAGGCCTGCCACAATTATTATAAGGCGTCATAACGGTTCATATGGGTTTCAGTCATTTACTGATGCTAACTCGGCGCCGCGCAGCTTGCTATAGCAAATGCGTTCGAGGCGTACAACATTGTTTACAATCTTTTGCTGGTTTATTCTTGCTTCGTGATACGCGCATTCACGAAAGACGCACAAGATAACAATCGATCGGTACACACTGGTAACTCAAACCCCCTCCAACATCGACGCAGCTGGTCGACCCCCGCAGACATCGCCACAAACAGAGAGCAGAACACAAAATTTCAATAGTATTTGAAGCGCGCTGGAAGTACACAACTTCGCCGCCACTCGTACATACCAGGAGCTGCATCCCAGTGAGATCTTCCTAGAAGTAAAGGCAGTGCCCGGCTGAAGAGGAGGGAGGGGTACTTGATTCCAGTTTGCGGAAGAGATCATGAAGAGATTGTTTGAGGGCTCCGCGCACAGCGCGTCAAGATGTGGCGGTCTTGCAGAAATGATGCGAAGTTTTGGTCAGGTTGAAGATCGACTAGCAGTTTGAGAGATAAAGTCCCGAAAAGCTAAGATCAGCCGACGCGTGTACTTGGAGTGGTTACGCTTTGAACCGCTTGCTTAAGGTCACGAGTCTGCAATGACATGAATTGCTTGAAGCGGGAGCCTTTGATGAGAGAGAACATCGATGACAGCGGTGAAATCGAGGGAAAGTGGAAGTCGAGGTGGTGCTACTGGGAAAAAGAGGTGATGGGACGCCATGCGCACGAACCTCAGCATTACTAGTTTGACTTTAGGGCAGGTCATGCAGATGTTGCTTGTATATGCATTTAGCTTATGAGGAGCTAGTACTTGGCTGGCGGTGATATCGCCGTCTGTTCGCCCTTGGTTCGTGCTGTATCGCGAAGTCGTGAGCTAGCACGATGGCTGCAAAATACCCCATCATTCGTGATTGCGCTACTAAATCTCCTATGCATCGTGATCCATCGTTCCTTGCCACGGTATCATTCCAGAGCTACGATTGGGCGGCAGTGCGAGACGAACATTTCCGGATTTCTCTAATGGTCTGAGCACGATTTGACATGGACAAATGCATCAGTATCTCGCAGATTAGTACACTCAGCTTCCAAATATACTAATCATCCCAACTCGCAGAGAAAGCACCCGTGCTACTAGAAGCCGCTGATCTCATATCCACCAGCCAATCCGGCAGCGACGCGTCCCTGGCTTTCCCCGCCCGGTTTACTATCAGATGTTCCAGGAAGCAAGGGGGGTCAACGTCCGAGTATCGAACATCATTTGGGTAATCCTTTCTCCGAGATCGAACGAGCTGCTCCAGAAGCTCAAAGCGCTGTCTCGAGTTGTCAACTGACATAAATATCGTCCTAAACTCGAAACAGACCAACTGTGGGCAGATGTTGTTGAGTGCGTCCATGTTTCCAAGTCCACTCCCAGGCTCGGCGGGCGGCCCATTGTGATCGTGATCCATGCGCCAACGAAGTGCGGCGAATAGCTGTGAAGGGTCCCAACGGTGTCTATTGGACCTGTCGACGACGAGCCTCGCGGAAAGCAGAGTAACCAATGGATCGGCTGTTGCCGGCTCTTTCAGGTGCAGCTCTTTCAAAGAGGACCCCGCTCCAGACGTCTGCAGGAATCTATACACTGCGTGTAGGTCATTGGAGTAGGCCTGGTGCAGACGGAGGGTAAGAATATGGGGAGCACCGATGTGACACAATACGGTTGTTAAGATGTACTCGTCTCGATATGGAACGACCGCATCGAAAAGGATATCGAGATGACGAAGTTCTGGGAAGAGAATGGAGGAGGAATCCGAATTGACTGTCGGCGCCGCCGAATCTGGCGCCTGGCGGTAAATCTTAATGGTGCGAAGTCGATTTGGATGTGCGCGTCGGAAGAATTAAAAGAAGCTGGTCAACGGCCCTATGTAGTCCGTGAGCGACAGGTCCTGCACGTTGTCTAGCGGGAGGCCGAGACAGAACTCGTCTAGATGTACGTCCTCCAGTGAGGGTTTCTTCAACGTCGGCGCGTTCAATGAGCGCTGGGGATCTGTTAGCCAATGAACCCAGTCCGTTCCTTCCACGGAAAGGCTCCTGAGCCAGGGCAAACCGACGGGGCTAGCGGGAGTACCCGTACATGATGGATCTAGTAGAAGTTCTCCGCTCAGCGTCAGACTGTTACATTGGTGGACTCTCGCCAATACGCTGCATATGGTTTCGTCAAGAACATACTCCACTTCGGGAGAGAGCTCTTCCCCGTCTATCCAAACCGACACGGTTATATCCAACGGGGAAGACCCGCATCTCTCCAGCTGCACCTTCGTGTCTTGACATTCGCCTTGAATCTTTTCGAAATTATGAGATGAGTCCAACTCCAGACGGACATTCCCCCACAAGGAGGAGTGCGATATCGCCAGATCTCTCCACCGCTTGCAAACCCTGGACGCCTCCAAAGGCGGACGATCCGAGCTCCCAAAGATGTGGAGGAAAACGTCGTCCATGAGGCGATGGATGGGAGCAAGGAGATTGCGATGATAGATAACGACGAGCCTTCCATGATCTCTGAGGGACGTGAGACGTCGTATAGCTTCGTCCAGATGCGACAATCTAGCTTCCCCTTCCTTGACAGCGAGGTTTGCTTCCTGATACGCGTTGGGGGTGAAGTCGAAGTGACGGTGCTGGTTGGAGAATGGGGCGTGTAGCTTTGTGGTGACGATGGGATCTACGAGCCCACAGGGAGAACAAGGATCATGAGTATGAACTTGGCCTGAATGGCGTTACTGTCGTGGTCCATGGTCATATTTGTTGGTGCGGACGTTTTTTTGGCAATGAATGGGTGAAGCAGAGTTGCGTCAACCCTAGCTAACCTAACTGACTCGGCCGCGCACCGCGACTTGACCACCACCTCCATGGCACCGACTGACTCTATGTCGGGCAGCTTGCTGCAATAAAGGCCTTCAAGGCGTTTCACGCCGTCTACAATAATCTTCTGGT